ATCATGACTATACGATGACCCACATCCGTCCCCTTACATCCAAAGATAAGGCTTCTTACCAATCAATGGTAAGATAGTAATATAAAAAGAAAGGAGAGAAATGAACAAAAAACTTTTGAGTAGGTAGAAACATTCTTAGTTGCTTGTTCACTTTCAAAATAAACACACACCAAACACTTTCAAAACAAACAATAAACACTTTCAAAACATAAAATATTTTCAAAAGTCCAACACTTTGTATACGTTCTTACAAAACGAGAACCATTACAAAGTTTGCCTAAACGAAGGCGTCTTTTCAAAAATACTTTCAAAAACCACCACAAAGCATATTTTCAAACAAAAGCAAGTGATCTAGCAAGCAACTAAGAGCCCATAGATAACTATGGATGAAAAGGGTGCTAACACCTTCCCTTTTCATAATCTACCCCCCGAACTTAAGAAAATAATCTCAAAGGTCTTTCTTGTTCTTTTCCACCTTTCTTTTTGGATAAAAGAAAAGTCGGTGGCGACTCTTGCTAACCGTAACAATTGCGATCAAACGCAAAACATCCCAAGTCAGTTCTCCCACCGTATTATAACAGGAATCTAATTCCCCATATGAGTTTATTTCTCCAACACTTACAATCCCCTAAAGAATTCTCTTCTCCAGCAATGCTTATTTTCTCAGCAGAGTATATTTCTCCAGCATGGTTTATTTCCCCAACGGAATCTGATTTCCCAAGAAAAATTCACTCCTCCGACTGCTACAAATAACCGGCAAAACTCCCTCTCCAACAAAATATAGTCAAGGCTACTATCCCCAGAAAGTTGCTACGGAATCTGAAACCGCGCCATATGTCATTCAACTTTGTCCTCCCCAGAAGAGTTAGCATCCATATATGAAACTCGATCATACGACACCTCTGAAGGTTATTCATCTATTTTATCCCTAGTCAGGATATATAAGAACTAAAATCCCAGTAGAGCGATGAACGACTGAGGTTCCTGAAATCTTCTATCCCCAAGAAGAAGTCAAACATTCCCATCAGAGTATTATCAAACAGAAAGCAGGAATCCCCAACAGGGACATTCTAAACAAGATTGAAGATTCATATCCTTCATCCCCAACGACAGTTAGGGATTTATTTTTCTCAGTCAAAGATGTTATACAAAGCTACCAATACGCTTCAACGCCATCTTACATTCATACATCATTTACAAAATATCATAGATATGCACGCAAAACGCATATGACACTCTCATTTACTTTTAGAACATCTTTACGCAATAAATCACATACATCATGACATTGCATAAAGACTAACTTTATCTTTTCAGGTAAAAGTCTACAAACAGACGAATATCATTAACAATTTTCAAATAGGTCAAAGATTAATTCCCGAAATAAGGCGGGGCAACAATCTATATGACCAGGTCCAAGATTAATTCTTGAAACAAGACAAGGCAACTATCTATACGACCAGGCGGTATAAATTCCTGAAATAGGACGAGTTCGCCAACAAAAAGCAGGTCAAAGATTAATTCCTAAAACAGGATGGGGAAACTATCTTTATAACCAGGCAAAGATTAACTCCGGAAATAGGACGGGGAAACTATCGCTACGACCAGGTGGTATGAATTCCTGAAACAGGACGAGTTTACCAACAAAAAAGACTGTAGATCAATTCCTGAAACATGAATGGGCGACTATCTACATGATAAACATTTCCCTCAGAGACTATATCTTACAAGCATTCCCTCAGAGATTAAATCTGACAAGCATATACTTAAGCACCTTTCCCAGAGGTTCATTCTGGAGAGCATTCTTCAGACATAGTCAAACATAGACTCATTATGATACATCTATCAATAGTTACTTTGGATGGCATCTATATGTCCATCTCCAATGACATTCATTCACCTCTCCGAATGACATCTTTAAGCCCATTCGAGCAATATTATCAACCAACAGTGTTACCTCCTGCATAAGGGAGTGTAAATTTCTAGGCACTTAAGTGTTCAATTCTCTTCTACCTTCAAACCACGAATGGCAGACATACTAATCTAACTCTTCATGTTTAAGAAGATTGAACAGGGGCAGTTGTTGTACCCCAAAATTTTGCCTCACTTTTTACTCAAGACATTCTCCTAGGATTCTCAAATGCTCAAGGTTGCTCAAGAATTGACCAGACAAATTCTCCTCCTAAGCAATTGACCTACAACTAGGGTTTTGTGTTTCTCAAGTAAGATTGGGTTTCTAAGGTCTCAAGTGGATTTCACGGTCTCTTATATATCTCCAATAATGTTCATACCAAGTTTCATGCTTTGCATCACAAGTTTGCCCAGTCAATGGCTCAGATGACTGGAAATCAACTATATTGGACAAAAAGTCAATTGTGGTCAACATATAGTCAAACTTCAATATTTTTGTTCAACGTCAAGATTTTGAAGACATATTCATCATTTGATCAATGTTTGATCATGATTCATCAAGGAAAACTCTCAAATCATCAAAAGTCAAAAGTTACCAAATTAGAGTTTCTTAAGGAAAAGTCAACTGAACTTTAACCAAACATAACTTCCATATACTTCCTCAGATTCTCCTCAACCAAAGCTAATTTTAAAGGAAATTCAATTCTCTACAACTTTGTCTCTCTAAGATCAAGTCCAAAAGATGCTTTGTTTGAGAGATATGAGCCAACACATTATATGTCATTTCAAAAGTCAACAAAAATACACTTTTTGTCAAGGTAACTTACATTAAGATAAAGTCTCCAAATGCAAAAATGGTCAATATAGAGATTGTAGAGGACGTCTTGAGATTTCCAAAAAGTTCAATATCACCTTCAAATGATACAAATTGAGAGAGTTATGACCAATGCAAGTTGAGAAATTTTGAGCAAATACATGAAGTTCAAATTGAGCAAACTTGATTTTTTGGACTAATGGGATATTGTTTCAGGGTCCAAACGTGTTTTACACTCCATATGCACCTCAAGACTTGTTGATACACCTCCCTTTGATTTATTATATTTTATTTTTGATTTTTATTCATTTAAAGGTCAAAATAAAATAAGACAATGCTCATTACAAGAGTACAAACCCATAATGTGTTGACCTAATTCCATGCTATATATTCTCCTCAAATCAGACAATCTAGCCACGAAACCTTGTGCTAGAAATCACTTCCAAAAAATCACAAAATTATCAAACTAGGGAATCTTCAAACCCTAGCCTGCAACCATCTTCCAAGCATTCTTGCATTCCCAATCGATTCCTGAAGAGGTACATAGTAAGAATGGATCAAACACAATGATCCAAGACCCCTAGAACTTGCACGCATACATGGTCGTTCCCTATCTTTTTTGCAAATCTCATATTTTTTGTTTCCTTCATGTTTAATTGCAAACTAACTATATTGATGTGTTTCTGAGATTCATTAGTCCAGACTGGACCATCGCTATTTTAAATGATAATGTACTAAAGTATAAATATCTTGTGTTAAATAAAAATAAGTTACATTATATATAATTTTATAAATAAAATAAAAATAAATAAAATCATTCAAATATCATATTATTGTTTAAAATAAATTTTTTTAACAAAAAGTTTGTGGGAAAAAACTGCCTCACTTTTTAAGTGGGTTAGACAAGACATACTAACTTAAGACATTGAGCCAAAAATCTTAGCCCGCTCCATTAAAAGTGGTGGATCAAACGGACTGGTCCGACCCGTTTTGCTATCCCTAATATAAAGTACATGAGATTTTATCCTACACTCCTAAAATATGACTCGACACCCTTGAATTTTTTCATATCCTCAAAATACTCTTATTAAAACGAGCGAACGAAAAATTTTAGTAGTGCAATTGAAAAATCCAATATGACAGAAAAATCCGGTATGTTTTAAAATTTTTGAAAACATTGGTAGTTCATTTTTGATAGGCAAAAAATCAAAATCGATTTCATCAATTTTTTTGAAAAATTCGATAAAAACACTAGTTTTTTGAAAATCTGAATGTATATTTTAATAATTCGGTAAATCTCATAGTTTTTTTTTTGAAAAATTCAATAGTGTATTTTGAAAAATCTGATAAAAACTTAGACTTTTTGAAAAATCCGATAAAAACTCATACATTTTAAAAAATTTTGTAGTGTATTTGAAAAATCTGATAGTTAAAATCCAATAATTTTTGAAAACTTTGATAAAAACTCATACATCCTCCGAATACATTTATAACAATAAAAAACTTTTTAGATTCATTGAATAATTAATATATCTGATATAAAATAAATGACTAGATAAATCATTTATTCAATAAATTTTTTAAAAAAATTGTTAGTTATAAATGTGTTTGGAGACCATAGATCGCTAAAAAAATCTGATTAAAACTTATGTAAATCTTCAAAAATCTTATAAAATTCAAAAAAAATTCAAAAAGACGATAATCAGACAATTTCTCAAAAACTTAAAAAATCACAAAAAATAAATATTATGATTAAAACACAATAATTATGGAGGTGTAAATTCAAAAAGATGATAAACAAACAATTTCTCAAAAACTTAAAAAAATCACAAAAAAAAAATTATGATTAAAACACAATAATTATGGAGGTGTTGGTGTGAAGAGTAAAAGATGAGATTTATAAACAAAATTGTTTAAGAAAATTAATCTTTCAACTTAATAAACTTTAATTGAATCGAATTAGATCTTAAAATAAGGTTTACTACCAAGTCGAGTAGAATTTATATAGTTAATGCAAGTTTAATATAATTTCTGGCTTTGTATCATAGTTTTACTCTTTTACCCTTGCTCTTGTCTCTTTCCATATCGAGAACTAGAATCTTCTTCCATCGATACTGTCGAGTACCACACGAGACACGAGCAAAAACCGATCCAGTCAACGTAAGAGTCTTCCACTCTTTTCTCCTTCCCTAATTTCTCTTTCTCTTCATTTCTCGCTTCCCGATAAATTTCATACTATACTCTAATCATTTTTTTTTTAATACTTTTTTGTAGCATGCAGGAAGTTCAAGAGCCTCAACCCCAATCAACACTAGGTAATTTAGATTCAATCAAGAAAAAAATATTTAGTTTCAGTCTCTTGTGTGATTGAGAAACACGTGTTTTTGATTGTTGGTGCTGTGTTAATGGTTGTAGGTCAAGAAGATGTCGATCAAGTGTTTGATGAAAGTTCTGCAAATGATAAAGGTGAAACACCGGAAGAGTTATTGAGTAGTCCCCCTAAAGTTGATTCTGAAGTTGAGGTTCTTCATGAGAAGGTTACCAAGCAAATAATTAAGGAGGGTCATGGCCAGAAACCTTCCAAGTATTCTACATGTTTCTGTAAGTGTAGCAGAATGCTAAATTGCATTAGGCATTAATTACTTCTTATGAGCTCTTTCTTGCATAGTCTTTTTGTTTTTTCTGGTTGGATTCAAGTCATGGTTGTGACTTAGATTGTTTATGGTGGTAGTTCATTACATGGCGTGGTCTGAGAACTCGGAGCACAAATTTGAAGATACATGGCAGGAGCAACGACCAGTTGAGATGGTAATAGGAAAAGGTATGGTTTAAGTTTGAAGTATTGGATTTCTTATTTCCGTTGATCAATTGGACTCGTGGAACTTTTTTTATACTGAGATTCCTATATTTATTCTCTAGATCGTTGATTTTCCTGTTTATACAATCCTACTAGATCATGATGTTTAATTATAGTAGTTTGGAGTGACAGAATTTGTTCAATATGTTGTCTTCCATTCTTTTCAATCACTACTTAGGCATTGCTAAGTTTCTGCAATTGCGGCGTCCAAGAAATATATGTTTGCAATGTGTATTGCATTACCGGACTTGTTATTTGGTTTTGATGAATTTTTATGAAACAGAGAAGAAAGAAATGACCGGCTTGGGCATTGGGGTTGCAAGCATGAAAGCTGGGGAGCGAGCATTGCTGCGTGTGAGCTGGGAATTAGGATATGGAAAGGAAGGAAGCTTTTCTTTTCCTAATGTTCCACCCATGGCAGATTTAGTTTATGAAGTTGAGCTCATTGGTTTTGACGAAACAAAAGATGTAAGTTGGTGTTAAATTATTGTATGTCCACGGACTTAGTTAGATACTTATAGTGCCTAATTCCCAGGGAAAAGCTCGCAGCGATATGACTGTAGAGGAAAGGATTGGTGCAGCAGATCGGAGAAAGATGGATGGAAATGCTATGTTTCAGGAAAATAAACTAGAGGAGGCCATGCAACAGTATGAAATGGTTACCCACTCGTGTTTCTTATGCTCTTTGACATAACTCTTTATTATTCTTTATCCATGAAAATATATTCTCCTCACTATTTTGATAAATTATTGATTGTCTTGGTTCTTGTCAGGCCATAGCTTATATGGGAGATGACTTCATGTTCCAGTTGTTTGGGAAGTATAGGGATATGGCTCTCGCTGTAAAGAATCCATGCCATCTTAACACGGCAGCCTGTCTGATAAAGCTTAACCGCAATGAAGAAGCTATAGGACAATGCAGCATTGTAAGTATATGACTTTTAAAGTTATCTCAGCATAAAATTTCAAGTATAAAATTATAATCATCTTGCTTTAAGTATGCACACAATAATGAGGTGGTAATACTTTCTTATTTACACATTGGAGACTGGTCATGCTTTTGTCTTAAGGATTCCTTTTAATAAATGAAGGGAAAATTTATACTGTTTTTGTTTATTTGCATCATTTTCCAGTCAACATTCTTAGACAGAAGTTGTAGACTCGTTACTGTTAGACACGTCTCGTCATATTTTTGGGCTCAGTTTGGCTAAATAGCGTAAGTGTTTATAGCCTAAATGCTTATCAAGTTGTCATATATGTTCTTATGTATAAGCTGTTTCTATAACAAAACATAAAGTAAAATTGTTTCATATAGGTTGGCTATAAGTTATTTTCATAAATTAATTCTTGTGAACTTATGAAAATAAGCTGAAAACAACTATGCACATGTCATCAGTTGTTTTCATAAGCTCCTCGAACCATGTCACAAGTGTTTATGCTAGTAGGTAAGTTCAATAAGCAAGTCCAATCAGGCCTTGAGTCGATGAAAATCTATAGTTGTCAAACAGAGTTGTTTTAGCCCTAATTTAGCGTGTAATTGTAGCGCTGCATTAAGTCTCGAGTTATTTGTTTCAAGATATGTAAACATATTTTTCGAGAAAACGAGAGTTCAGCATTGTAACATTTCCATGTTTGGTTTTAACATTTCCACAATATCATGAATCTCTCAATCTATATCATAAAACAAACTTCTCCAACACATGTCATTGGTGAAACTTGCAGGTATTGAGTGAGGATGAGGGCAATGTGAAGGCATTATTTAGGAGAGGTAAGGCTAGAGCAGCACTTGGGCAGACAGATGCTGCAAGGGAAGATTTTCTAAAAGCGCGTAAATATGCACCCGAGGATAAAGCAATTGCAAGAGAATTGAGGCTACTTGCTGAACACGACAAAGCTATTTATCAAAAGCAAAAAGAGATCTATAAAGGAATATTTGGACCAAGGCCTGAACCAGTACCTAAGAAAAGGAATTGGCTTATACTTATTTGGCAGTGGTTGGTTTCAATGTTTTGTAGCTTTACAACACTCTTCAACCGTGAAAAGAACAAATCTGACTAACTCAAACTGTTGAACTCAAGACCATTGGTGAGAGAGAATTGTACCCTCAATTCTAGTTTTACTTTTTTCTTTGCTAATGGAACAATCATACGTTGAAAAAGTTGTTGTTTCACTCTTCAGTAGAGGATTTGTGTTCGGCAATACTATCAATCTATCTGTTCTAGCATTTGATAGTTTGTCACGTCGATTGATTTAATATGTAAAGCATGTTTGGATGAACTTATAAACAAGTTACTTGGACTTATCTATTGACATAAACACTTGTTTCAATAAGCTACTTTTTATAGTTTCTGAAAGTAACTTGTTTCTTCTTGTGTCTTAATAACAAAGACATAAGAAGGGTGGTCAATGATGTGCATCGCCGTATGTCAGTTGCCGATGAGAGAAGTGTTCAGTTCACCCTCATGAAATTTCAAAACGATGGTGATGTGAGAATCATGTTTTTGACATTTGTTCAGTATAGGACCAGATGATGTGAGAATCATGTTTTTGACATTTGTTCAGTATAGAACCAAGAGATCGAACGAGTTAGACAATACCTTGATCCGTTCGTACCATCTGTTCAAGGTTGTTTTATTCTAGGACAATTATCTGTTCAAGCTTGTTTTATTCTAGGACAATTAATGAAATCACGTCGAATATGGTTGAGTCCGATGAAGAAGTAACTATTTTGTTTGATTTATGATTTTATTATTTAATGTTTTTAATTATTCACAACTTTGTGGTGTTTGACATGTATCATATTGAATTTTATCTCATTTAATGAGTGTTTATGTTCGTTGTGATTTTTCATGAATTTAACAATTCTGGATTCTTGAATTCAGCGTTTTAAAAAACACCCCAAATTTTTAGGGAGTGGATTCTCTAACGTTGTGAACGTTATAGTGACTTTCAGCATTTTTCAACCACTATTTGTAACCATTCAACTGCTTCCACCTAGCTATGGCTTTGTTAACAAATAAAAAATATATAGTATAGAAACAACACTGAACACCGATCAAAAAACTTCATCTTTTCTCCTTTAACAATACACTTCACCTTCTATTACTGTATCACCATCACTGCTGTATTACCGTCGACCACCGTAACTGTCGCCGACCACCAATTCACTATTTTCTCTTTCTCTCAACGTGTCTCTATTTTGTCTGAAAAATATTTTAATTTCTAACATTGCTTATATGTTGATTGAAAAAATAACTTTAACATATGTTCAGTTAATCTATTCTAATGACAAATAATAAGCTTTTTTTAAGTTGTTGTCTCTTGACTCTTGAATCTAGGCTTTGATGAAAATTGTTAAACAAGAAGCAATCATTTTAAGCTGTTGTCTCTTGACTCTGTTTTCAATTTTTTTCATCAAAGTTGATTTGGTTGTTGATGTGGTTATCTCCTTTTATCAATCAGACAAAACCAAGCTCATTATTATTTAAAATTTCAAGTTCTTTTACTTGGAAGTATGATAAAAAGTTACATTTACAAATATTGACTTGAAGCCAATAATCGGTATAGAATTTGATTCATTAGACTCAGCTTTTCAATTTTGGATTGCATACGGTGCACATGTTAGTTTTTGTTGAAAGTAATTTCTTGTGTCGAAACAGTTTGTTCGACAGAAACAAGGAAATATTGAAAAAATTTGATTTAGTGTAGAAAGAATTTGTTACACATATTTGATTTTAGATTTAGATAGATTTGATTTAGATCTAAAATATAATAGATTTGATTTAGTTCTAAAATATGTATTTTGGATTTTTATAGTTTTGGACTTTGACTTAGGGAGCAAGCTAACCTAAAATTATAAATAGAGGGAGTAACCTCTATTTTTGTAATCAAGTCAATCAAATTGTATTCACAGAATTTTACAGTTGCAAAGTGAATAAGAAGGTTTTCCACAGTTTGTGGGCAGAGAGAAACTCTGCAGAAAAATTCATTGTCTTCTATTCTTTCTTTCTTCATATAATTCATTATTATTGTGTGGTGACAACAATTTTGTTCATCAAAATTGATAGAAATTCATCATAGGTTTTGGTGAATTTCCAACATCTGGTATCAAGAGCTTCGATTGAGTGATTCAAGGGAAGAACGATCAAGAACGATCAAAGAAGAAGAAGAAGAAGATCACGATGACGATGAATTATGCTAACGGAAATTTTTCAGCAAGTCTCCCAATTCTTAAAGGTGATAACTATGAGAATTGGTGCAAACAAATGAAGGTTATATTTTATTTTCAAGGTCTTTGGGATCTTGTGAAACATGGATTAGAACTACTTGATGAAGACGCTTCAGAGGAAGAAGAAGCTGCATACAAAGAATCGAAGAAGAAGAATTGTAAAGCTCTCTTTATAATTCACCAATGTGTCAGCCCAGACAATTTCAAAAATGTTAGTGATGTTGAATATGCAAAAGAAGCCTGAGAGATTCTGAAGAAATCGTTTAGAGGCGTTGAGAAGGTGAAAGATGTGAGGTTGAAAACTCACAAAAGAACGTATGAATGGCTTCATATGGAAGATAGTGAGAGCATATCTGATTTCTTCACTAGGGTTACGAAACTAGTGAATCAAATCAAGACTTGTGGAGAGACGTTAACAACAAGAGCTGTTGTTTCGAAGATCTTAAGATCTTTGGCTCAGAAGTTCGACCATGTGGTAGTTGCCATAGAAGAGTCGAAGGACATGTCATCTCTATCGAAGAAAGATCTTCAAGGGACGCTTGAATCTCACGAATAAAGAATGACTGAAAGAGCTGCAGGCAAGTCGAAGAATGATGTGGCTTTACAGACTCAATCAACAAGAGACAAGAAAGGAAAAGGAAAGTGGTTTGACAACAAAGGTAAAAGTGGCTACAACAATTTAACTGGTAGAGGAAATCAGCATAAAGAAAACATGTAGAATTAGAGAAGACCGTACCAAGGCAACCAAAGAGGTGGTGTTGCGAATAGAGGAAGAGGTGGTGGTCGAAAACCTGACAAGAGTCATATTCAGTGTTTCAATTGTCAGAAGTATGGTCAATATTTTAGTGATTGTCCAGAAAAGCGAAAGAATCAAGAAAGTGATGCAAAGTTTGCAAAATATGAAGAAGAAGAGATGATGTTGATGGTCACAACAAGAGAAGAAGATAGATTCAAGGACGAATGATACTTAGATTCAGGATGCTCATCACACATGTCTGGAAGGAAAAATTGGTTTGTCAACATAAAATTCTTGATGAAGAACACTGAAATTTGAAAATGACAATATCCTAGCAGCTGAAGGTATTGGTGATGTTATGATTATGAGGAAAGATGGCAAGACGTCAGTAATTTCTAATATGTTGTACATACCAGGCAATAAGAGCAATTTTCTCAGTATAAGACAGTTGGTCGAAAAGAAATATAAAGTATCGATCAAAGACAAGATGATGAGAGTCGTCGACACAAATGGAAGGTTAATCTTGAAGGCTCCCATGTCTCAAAATAGAACCTTCAAGGTTGAACTTAATGTGATGGAGCACAAGTGCCATTCGACTGCAGCTAACAGAGATGAATAGACATGGCACTATCGACTAGGCCATCTAAACTTCAGAGACGTCAAAGATTTGAAAAGAAGAAATATGGTTTCAGGGTTTCTAGAAATCGATATTCCAAACAAGGTGTGTGAGGAATGTGTGCAGGCAAAGCAACACATGAACAACTTCAGCAAGGATGCAGGAAGCAGGTCAGAGGCTATTCTCGAAGTCATATACTCTGATGTATATGGACCAATCCAGTGGATTCGATGGGAGGTAAAAATACTTTGTTACATTTATAAATGATTTCAGTAGAAAAATATGGACTTACCTGATCAAGAAGAAAAGTGAATTAATCGAGGTATTTGCCAAGTTTAAGTATATGGTCGAAAGACAAAGTGGTCGAAAGCTCAAAATTTTGAGAACTGATGGTGGTGGAGAGTATGTGTTGAAAGACTTCGACAAATTATGTGGAAAAGAAGGGATTGTGTATGAGGTGGTTCCACCCTACACTCCACAACAGAATGGAACTGCATAAAGGAAAAATCGAAGCATCATGAATATGGTGAGAAGTATGTTGAAAGGCAAGAATTTATCTAAAGAGTTTTGGGGTGAAGCTGTGTCAACTGCAACATACATTTTGAACAGATGTACGACAAGAAGGTAGAAGGAATTACTCCAGAAGAATGTTGGTCTGGTGTGAAGCCTAGCTTGAGCCATTTGAAGGTATTTGGATCTATAGCACATAGACATGTGCTTGATCAGTTGAGAAGAAAACTTGATGACAAGTCGATTCAAATGATTCTAGTTGGATATAATTCGATAGGAGATTACAAGTTGTTCGACCCAGTGAATAAGCATATTGTGATCAGAAGGGACGTGATTATAGATGAGCTTAAAGAATGGGATTGGACTCAAAATGTCAAGAAAGATTCAGTGAGAATCTTATTTGAAGAACCAGAAACTTAAGTCGAAAGAGAAGTTCGACAAGAGGAAGCTAGACAAGAGGAAGTTAGAGATCAACCAAGTACAAGAAGACCTCAAAGAACAAGACACATGTCTGCAAGATTGCAAGATTGTGTGATTACATCAGATGATGTGGTTGATAATGAAGGTGAGCTGGTACATTATGCTTTCTATGCGGATGTCGAACTTGTAAATGCAGCTGAAGTATTGAAGGATTCGAAGTGGGTGAAAGCAATGAACGAAGAAGTGAAGTCCATCGAAGACAACAACACTTGGTCACTTTCTGAATTGCCTCAAGGAAAGAAGGCAATTGATGTCAAATGGGTATACAACGTAAAGATGAATCCCAAAGGGGAAGTAACTCGACACAAAGTGAGGCTCGTGGCGAAAATATTTCTCCAGAAAGAAAGAATAAACTTCGATGAAGTTTTTGCACCTGTTGCTAAAATCAAAACAATCAGGTTGGTTGTTGGTCTAGCAGAAATAAACAGTTGGCGCATATGTCAGATAGACGTGAAGTGTGCATTCCTAAAATGGACCCTTAGACGAAG